TCCTCTCCACCAGTAAGCTGGTGTGTGGTGAGCGTTCTGGCGCAATATGGCTGCCGTCGCATCATCCAGGTGGATGCTGCACATTGGTGGTGGTTGAGGAGATCCCCCCCTTCTATGTGAAGCGCTTTGCGTGTCCAGAAAAGCGCTATATAAATGTAACGAATTATTATTATTATTATGAAGGCTGCTCTCAGTGGTGCTGAAAGCCTGAGCGCGTTTTGGATATCTTGTCCCGAGGTCTATGGCACATTGAAGATGCTGGCTATGTATGCGCTCACCATTATCGGTTCAACCTACACCTGTGAGGCTGCGTTCTCCAAGATGAACTCGATTTAAACGCACGAGAGGAACCGTCTGTCAACCCAGTCTTTGGAGGACTGTTTGCGCATAAGTCTGACAGCGGCCAAGCCTGATGTGAAAAAGTTAGAGGGGAAATGTAACTTCAGCCATTAATTAATTAGTGTTATAGTAGTCCATTTCAGCCTTGTGATTTGATTTCGCTATAGCCCACTTAACGTTTTATTTGCTGTGCGAACAATATTTGTGACCTGTTTTGTTCTGGTTCCAGGTTATTTATTTACCATGCTATTTTAAATTGTGCCAGATCGTTTTTTCCTCCTTTTTTAGTCCTGAGGAGTTTGCTAGTTCCAAGCATGTTGTTCAGACTTTGAAATGAAAAACAAATGTTAAGGGCATGAGGAAAAGTTATGTTTTAACTGTGTGAAACAATAAATACAAAACAGTGTAACGAGTCTGTCCTCATTTTGGGGTGTAGCCTAAATAGAGTCATAAATGGTGGTGATTACTGAGAAGAGACTCAGTTGTTGCTGCTTTTAGTTGCTTTAATAGTGTAGAATAGGCTTACATATTTTCTGTTTGATCCTCACAATTTTGGAATCCAGTCGCGGGCCGGATCAAACGGCTTGGCGGGCCGCATTCGGCCCGCGGGCCGCCAGTTGATCATCAGTGTTATAGAGCATCACAGTCCCGCCCACAGCCCGAGAGAGCGCTGGTGCCGGAAGTAAATTTCCCATTCATTTCTCCCATTGACATTGTGTAAAATCAATATCTAAAGAGTATTAGAGCATGTCTGAGGATAATCAGCGGCTGAACTCATAAGCATAAAACACATCATTTCGAGTGAAAAAACGAAGAGAAAATCCCCAAAAAGTCGAGGGTACAAGCCTGTGTACATATTTTCATTTCCAAGCAAAGGAACTACTCCTCCCATAAACCACCGCGCCTCACTGAAGTCGTCTGAAAGCCACCGTGAAAGAGCCTTTTGAGTGACTTCCAAATCTGACGACGGGCACGTGAACTTTTTCCTCCAGTGAATTTTATATAGTGAATGTGCAGGGAAGCTAATTTTCCTCGATTTACTGAAGCAAACGGATTTGCAGCTCGACATGCAAAAACATTGACTATCTGGCTTGCTCATTAGCTAAGCTGTGGCAACTGCACATCCAATGTGCGTTCCACATTGCCAATGTACATCCTCAGAAGTGCGACCAATGAACTTAGCCCTACGTCATTACGCGATCTTCAATCTTCACGTACCTTCGCGGGGTTTCAGACACGTGACACGACTTCCACCAATCAGATGTATCACTGTTGGATTGTGGGATTGTTCTGGATTGTGGGTAATGAAGTACTTATCCAATTCATCGCGAATAAAAAGCATTTATCTTAAAACAAGGTTAGTGGCCCATGAACTTTTGGCGTTTATATGAGCATATACAATCGCTTAGTACAGCCGTAGCTGGTTTTAAGTCTACCATTTATGGTTAAGTTTTTATGGCTTATATCTCAAATGTCAATGGAGAAATTGTATTGAATTTTTACTTCCGGCACCGGCTGTGGGCGGGACTGTGATGCTCTATAGAGAAACCGATCGTTAATAGAAACTGAGGGCATATAAATCTTTAGATGCCTATATGGTCCTGTACAACACTTGTGGGTACGATCCGCAGTTCTGCCAAGCCAGCGCCGAGACCACGACAATGTAAAGAGTGACATTACAGTGCGATTTTAATGATGTGAATATTTTCTAGAAATACAAGTTCCAGATAAAGCCTATTCATTTTTTCATCAATTCTTGCACCAAACACCACAAGATGACATTTAATAATAGTAACAATTATTTAAGCTCCTTATTATGTAGCCGAATCTGTGATGTTTTGTATTGGCCATCTCCAGTTTTCACTTTGTTTTGCCTCCAGCTAGCGCCGTGACGTAACTGTGACGTTGGCGCAAAAGGGGTCTATAGCCCCTTTAATTTTAAAACTGAATCTTGAACAGTACCAGAAAGACACCTTATGGAGGTATGGAGGTTAAACACATTTGTACTAATTCAGATGAAGGAACAAATTAATGCAGTTATTAAAGAGAGAGAGAGAGACGTTGAAATAATGAGACAGAAAAGCATGTGCGTCAATATTATTATTTATTTATTAACTTCGTTTTAATTAATTCGTTCATTATTGTTTTCTATAATTGACAGTAGATAACCCAATTAATGAAACACACGAAGCACTTTTTTACAAGTAGGTCTAGCAATAATTATTTATTTGTTATATTATCTGGAATAATTACGAAAATCCGTGCAGCAGGACTATTAATTTATTTATATAGCCTATTCAGTTTAATTTACTATTTAGCCTATTATAGATAGGACTAAACTTTATTTATTAAAATTAAACTGTATGTGTCAATTGATTGTGAAGTTAGACATTGAAAATTGCAGATCAAGCGCATGGGGCTGCATGTCTTCTCTTGTTATGAATTGTATCCTTTTTTCCGTTAACTACGCGCAGTGATATGAACTGTAATGCGGTTCAAACTTGCCTGAAACTACTTTAGCCATGAAAATAATTGCACACCTTTAGAACGTTCTCAACCAATCAGAATCAAGCGTTCAACAGCCCTGTAGTATAATTGATTTGAATATCCCCAACTGAGCAAGCCAAAGGCAACAGTGGCAAGGAACTGAAAAACTCCATCAGGTGACCCGATGGAGAAAAAAAAACCTTGGGAGAACCCAGGCTCAGTCGGGGGCCAGTTCTCCTCTGGCATTTATGAACTAGAGGCCGAATTCACAGTAACTGTCACGTGAAAATGTATATGAATGTTTCTAAATAGACTTAAATTGGTAGTAACAGCCCTGCTGATGATGTTCACATGCGCATTAAGAATTGATTCTATAGTTATGTGCGTTTGAATATATGCGCGCAGGTTTTTAAATTCCCTCATGCCTGAACAAACTTCTTATAAATTAAAAAACGTCTATAAATTTGATACAGATTTTCGAATCATTTCAGGGTAGGGACGCGAAACGAATTCACATCGCTTAATCTGTAGAGTGGGAAAGGGATCCTCCATAGGGAGAGGCTAGTTGGCACTTTAGCACTGCATTGTCATCGTCATCGTGTCCAGGCTAAGGTCTTCGTCAGATCTGGATCCGGCAGGCTGCGGGAAAACCTCGGGATAAACAAAGACACTAAAATTAGCATAGATGCCATTCTTCTTATGATGTAACGATTATTGTAGCATTGATTGTAACACGATTATTGTAACAGTTGTAGTTTTTTTTTACAATTTTTAAAACATGTCTTGGAATTAAAAGAAAAAAATTAAGTTTAATTATGGTATAATGGGTGTTGGTGTGGATGGATTTGTAATGGTCATTTGATTTACCCTCAGCACTTTTCTCATTTATCGGTGCAGTGGTCTGGTCTGAGCTGTGATAATGAAGAGACGGCAGCTTCACAAAACTTCCCGTCCTTGTCCTCTTTCTCATCGGCATCTCATTTTCCTCAAATGGTTGATGCTTTTCAGCCGCGTCGGCACAAGCTGGATACGACTTGGACAGAGAAACAGAGTACCTGTGCGTAATCCGGTCCAGGGGTCACATTCAGTCCCGTAGCAGCCATGTATGTCCATGTTTTGATCTTCTCCAGTCCATTAAATTTGGGTTTTGACAGCAACTGTTGAGAAAAAAAAAAAGAGTCAAATTTTTAGGGAAAAAATAATTGCCAGTCCAGCAGTTCAATGATCTCTTTAACTTTGGGGTCCCTATTAACAACAGGCCGACCTCTAATGGGACGGGTGTAGGCTGGAAGAAAGATCATTGTTGGTTGGAGGATTTTTATAAGATTTTAGAATAAAATATGTTTGTCCAGTTTTGGAAAAATGATGTTTTCATGTTCTTTGACTTTGACATATTTCACTGCCACCTGATCAACAAAACATTTAGCTCATTACAATTACAACATGTAAATTGCACCACATAGTGAACATTATATACAATAAAAGGACTTGAAATGGATAGTGAGGCAAAAGAATTTGCTAAATGTAAGAAATGACTATACCTCAAGACCATCCTCCAAGTGCTTCCCTTCATAAACCTTGCCGAATCCTCCCACACCAAGCATTTTGCCGATTTTAAACCGGCTCAGAATGTCGTCTGTTAAAAGATTAATGGTTATATTTGACATGAAATGTCAAGCATGGATAGCAGTGAGAGTAATATTTGAGATATGGCAGTAAACTCACCCTCAGTTGTTACGTCCACTCTGTGATCTGGTGCTGGACTGTGGTGGACTGGAGCTGAAGGGGTTTGAACCTGCGGATCTACAGGAGGAACGACTTCAAGACCACTGGATAGAGGTATCTGAAGACCATGATCCTCTAGAGCACAGGCACTGTCCAGTAGAGAATTTCACGTTTCAAATAAATGATGCTTTGGATAAAAAAGTGTCAGCTCAATATCTAACTGTTCTGTGTGAAATACATAATAATTACACACTGCATACCCATAATGGTGATTCTTTTGTTAAAATATAAAACATGGATTTGTAATGGTCATTTGATTTACCCTCAGCACTTCTCTCATTTATCGGTGCAGTGGTCTGGTCTGAGCTGCGATAATGAAGAGACGGCAGCTTCACAAAACTTCCCGTCCTTGTCCTCTTTCTCATCGGCATCTCATTTTCCTCAAATGGTTGATGCTTTTCAGCCGCGTCGACTCAATCTGGATACGACCTGGACAGAGAAACAGAGTACCTGTGCGTAATCCGTTCCAGGGGTCACATTCAGTCCCGTAGCAGCCATGTATGCCCATGTTTTGATCTTCTCCAGTCCATTAAATTTGGGTTTTGACAGCAACTGTTTTGGGGGAAAAATAATTTGAGAAGAAAAATACACATTTCACCTTTCGCCATTATTCAAAGTAACAGAAATACATGTTTTCACTTTCTTGGATTATTTAATTGGCAGGTGGCATGACAGTTTTCCAGGTATATATGGGATTGCATTAATCTTTCTGAAAATGATGTACAGAGCTCTAATAAACAGAAAACTTCTCTCGCTAGTGGCTGCAGTGGTCTGATCGTCCACTTTCTGACCCTGACCTCAGCTGCTGCTCCGACCAACTCCTCCTCTTCTGTCTCTCCTGACTATCGCTTCCCTTTCTAACAGGTTGATGATAAACATACATTACACATATAAGAGATCTGACCTTGACTTTTCCTGTTTCACAATAAACTAAGAACATATCAAACAAATAGACCAAAAAAGTGTCTTCCAAATATTAATATACAGGTAAAACTCGAAAAATTTGAATATTGTGCAAAAGTTCATTTATTTACGTAATTCAACTTAAAAGGTGAAACTAATATGTTATAGAGACTCATAACATGCAAAGTGAGACATTTCAAGCCTTTATTTGTTGCAATTGTGATGATTATGGATGAAACCACAAATTCAGTTAGAATATTGTGAAAAGGTTTTCAAAGCTGTACGCCATTATCATCACAATTATAACAAATAAAGGCTTGAAATATCACACTTTGCATGTTATGAGTCTCTCTATCATATATTAGTTTGACCTTTTAAGTTGAATTATTGAAATAAATTAACTTATGCATGATTTTCTAATTTTTTGAGTTCCACCTGTAAATCCAAATTCATTTCTAGCTTATTATGGTCAATACCTTAAACCATTTATGGGAAATGATTTCCTCCAAACCAATCCGCTCATTTGGGCTTTCCCGCAGGAGGCGTCGAATCAAGTCGCGGCAATCTGTGAAGAGACCTTAAACTTTACACCTGCTGTCTTTCTATTAAGCTGTGAGATTAGACTACGCTATACTGTACAGTTAAAAAAAAATGGAACTGGTAACAGCCATATTTTATAAAGCTTTCTGGTTTTGGTATTACTGTTACTTCTTTGTTTCATTTGTTCTATTGTGGTGATTTGAAATTATAATTGATCATGTTTTTTATAATGAATGCAATTTTACCGTTGGACAAGTGAAACATAGACCAGGTGTTATCCTTAATCCTCAGATGGTCTTTGGGTTCTGGTAAGCGTCCACACACCATGTGGAATAAGAGCATTCCCAGAGACCACACAGTAGCTGGTTTACCATGGTACCTCTGCAATGTGTCGAACTCAGGTGGACAGTACCTTCTTGTGCCTAGAAAGAGATTTGTCTGATGGTTAAGTTTGAAATCCCATAGCATGTTTTCTCCAGGTGACGATACACGGGGCAACTTTTTGAGCAATGTTGCCGTTAACAACAACATAACAACATTAACAACATGCCAATACGTACCACGGAAGTCGTAATAGGCGGTCTCTTTCAGGAAACTCCCGCACCTGAAGTCAATCAGTTTGACCTCACGTGTTTTTTTGTTGATCAGCAGGTTTTGTAACTTGATGTCGCCGTGGAAAACTCCTCGGTCACAGCACGTCTGAGCAGCCCTTGTTGCCTGTGCCATGATAGTCCGTGCCGTTTCCTCACAGAGACTGCGTTTGCGATTATCCCAAAAAACAAACACATCTTCGCAGTGTGGGGGACGCTCCAAGACCATGATATATTGGTCAGGCTGGTCCTGCCAGTCCAGCAGTTTAATGATCTCTTCAACTTTGGGGTCCCTATTAACAGCGGTTAACAGGCCGACCTCTAATGGGACGGGTGTAGGATGACCAGGCTGGAAGAAAGATCATTGTTGATTAGAGGATTTTTATAAGATTTTAGAATAAAAAATGTTTGTCCAGTTTTGGAAAAATGTTGTTTTCATGATCAAACTTACAATTTTGATGTATTCCATGTTCTTTGACTTTTTGACAATTTTCACTGCCACCTGATCAACAAAACAAACATTTAGCCCATTACAATTACATTTACAAACATGTAAATTGCACCACATAGCCTAGGGTACATAGCAGGGTTCTCAAGTCTCACGCATTGGCCGTGAGACACACGCATTTCGACCGGTTCACACGCTCACACGCCACACTGTGTGTTTCTCACGCTGAAAAGGCAATGCCAACCAAGTTGTCCTGGCTGAAAGCTTTCTAACGTTGTATACGAGGCGCAGGCAAACAAAGTGAAGTTTCCTGCCGCCAGCGCGTATCTCCGCCAGATTGCGTTCGTTACTAGGCAACATATATGCGCGCTGCGTGCACCACTGATCTATACATGACATGTCATTCAGTAGCGCAAACACACGGAAATGGACGGAAAATCCTCGGCCACCGTACGTTCGTTACTAGGTAACCAACAACATCGCGCGAACACATGTGTCGTGATGGAGAAGAAGGTAAGTTAGAAGAAGCTCGTCTAACATTTTTGGGCTAGAACATTTAATATGTAGCCCATCGTACAAATTATTATTGATGCAGTCAAAAACTCTACAACTACTTTGCAACCAGGCTCAGTTTGGCTATCTTACGTTATCTGAAACTAAGAGAAATGTTAGTGGGTATGGAAAGGAATGAAGATTTACTGATTTTATTTTAAATTATATTATACTGTAATATTAATAGTCTTTCTAGTTACATTAAGGATGTATTACAGCAGATTGCTCTGGGTAAAATTTAATCATTGTCATAATGTTGCATTTGTATTTTTCAAAGATGTCAGGAAAAAAGCAGAAAGATATTTTGTCATTTTGGGCACCAAAGGGTAAGCCCCCTAAAAAGGTTGCCAGATTAGAGGAGGAGACAGTGGAAGAGGTGGTGCACTCTAATCTGTCCAGTTGTTCTCAATGTCCCACCACACAATAAATCATTCGTCTAGATAGAAGACGCATTCAAAAATCAAAATGCAATTTTTAAAGATTTGTTTGAAACTGTTTGGAGCAATTTTTAATATTTTTTGGTTAGCTATATTTGTAATACTGCATTAAAGAGTATTTGATGTGATGAATTGCTCTGTCATTTATCAGATTTACTAATTGTTATAATTTTAATTTGTTCTGGTTAATTATGAACAATGGGTAAAATTGGGGGCGGGGATGGGTGGGGCGGGGCTTCATTATGGCTCCTCCCCTAACCGCGTGTGATCTCACTCCAAGCTTTTGCTCAAACTTGAGAACCCTGGCCTAGTGAACATAACATACAATAAAAGGACTTGAAATGGATAGTGAGACGAAAAAGAATTTGCTAAATTGATAAATGTAAGAAATGACTATACCTCAAGACCATCTGCCAAGCGCTTCCCTTCATAAACCTTGCAGAATTCTCCAAAACCAAGGATTTCGCCGATTTTAAACCGGCTCAGAATGCAGTCTGTTAAAAGATTAATGGTTATAGTTGACATGAAATGTCAAGCATGGACAGCAATGAGAGTAATATTTGAGATATGGCAGTAAACCCAATTGTATTGTACAATTATAGTTTCTTTTTTTAACAAAACTTGTTTAGATATTTAAGACATGTCTTGGAATTAAAAGAAAAAACTTAAGTTTAATTATGGTATAATGTGTGGTGGTGTGGATGGATTTGTAATGGTCATTTGATTTACCCTCAGCACTTCTCTCATTTCTCGGTGCAGTAGCCGCGTCGGTTCTGGATGTTGAGGGGGAGTCGCACACCTGAGCGAGGGTAAAAATAATTCGTTATAGGCTGCATTTACACTGCAGGTCTTGATGCCCAAATCCGATTTTCTGACTATATCTGATTTTATTGACAACCCGCTTACATCATCTTTTAAAAGTGACCCATATCCGATTTTTGCATTTACACTATACACTGCTGAAACTACCAAATGCAGACGTTCTGACCCGGGAAATTAAGCAAAACAGCACGAACTTCAATGGATGCAGATGCGAATAAAATTATCCAGTGTTTTTCTTTCCACAATATTTTGAAAAGTCATCAAAACATTGGTCTCGTACGCCGGAGAATAAGAGGAGAGGCACTGTAGCGAGTACTTAAAACGATACCTCATTTATCTCGTGAAATGTCTTCAAATAGAGATTTATTTCTGTAACAACCCTGCATTTTTGCCTGCACTCATCACCCAAAACACTCAAAAGACATGAAACCGCCGCATTGGTCCACTGTGTGTATCCTTTCTTCCATCGCGCCTATAATCGCGCACTTTTTAATGACGTACGTCTCGCATTTACTGGGGAATATCCGATATGTCTGCTTACATGGCACACGTAAATGCACGTATCCGATTCATATCTGGTTTATTACCACATATGAGTGAGGCCTGAATCTGATCTGAGAAAATCGAAATCCATGCGTTTTTTTCTGCTTACACGTTCACTGGTCATATCCGATCTGTGCCACATGAGAGGAAAAAATCGGATTTGGGTCACTTGAACCATGCAGTGTAAACGAGACCATAGAGACTCATAACACGCAAAGTGAGACATTTCAAGCCTTTATTTGTTATAATTGTGATGATATGGTATGATATGATATGATATGATATGGATGAAACCCCAAATTCATTGTGAAAAGGTTTTCATTGCTGTACGCCATAATCATCACAATTATAACAAATAAACGCTTGAAATATCACACTCTGCATGTTATGAGTCTCTCTACCATATATTAGTTTGACCTTTTAAGTTGAATTACTGAAATAAATTAACTTTTGCATGATATTCTAATTTTTCGAGTTCCACCTGTAAATCCAAATTCATTTCTAGCTTATTATGGTCAATACCTTAAACCAATTATGGGAAATGATTTCCTCCAAACCAATCCGCTCTCTTGGGTTTTCCCGCAGGAGGCATCGAATCAGGTTGCGGCAATCTGTGAAGAGACCTTAAACTTTACACCTGCTGTCTTTCTATTAAGCTGTGAGATTAGACTACGCTATACTGTACGGTAAAAAAAAAAAACTGGAACTGGTAACAGCCATATTTTATAAAGCTTTCTGGTTTTGGTGTTACTGTTACTTCTTTGTTTCATTTGTTCTATTTTGGTGATTTGAAATTATAATTGATCATCTTTTTTATAATGAATGCAATTTTACCGTTGGACAAGTAACACTCAGGCCACATGTCGTCATTAATCCTCAGATGGTCTTCGGGTTCTGGACAGCGTCCAAACAACATTACGAATAAGAGCACTCCCAGAGACCACACAGTAGCTGGTTTACCGTGGTACTTGCCCCTTGTGTGGAACTCAGGTGGACAGTACCTTCTTGTGCCTAGAAAGAGATTTGTCTGATGGTTAAGTTTGAAATCCCATAGCATGTTTTCTCCAGGTGACGATACACGGGGGATACAACTTTTTGAGCAATGTTGCCGTTAACAGGCAACCAGGTGAGATACAGGGCCCATGACCGATCTAAAGTACCAAGGTAGAAATTTGTTGCCCATTCTCAATGAGAAAGCGCCCAAGGAACATCGCTCAAAAAAGTTGCCCTGTGTATCAACACCTTATGTATCCATTAGAGTAAATGAATAATTTAGTTGTTTTTATTCACAATTCTGGAGTTTTAAAAGTGAGATCAATCCATGGCCAAACCAGGCGTGAGGCGACATATTTAGTGAGAACATATTCATCTAAATTTAAAAAATAAAAACTCTTTTCAAACCTTGATTCATAATACATACCACGGAAGCTGTAATAGGCGGACTCTTTCAGGAATCTCCCGCACCCGAAGTCAATCAGTTTGACCTCAAGTGTTTTTTTGTTGATCAGCAGGTTTTGTAACTTGATGTCGCTGTGGAAAACTCCTCGGTCACAGCACGTCTGAGCAGCCCTTGTTGCCTGTGCCATGATAGTCCGTGCCGTTTCCTCACAGAGTTTGCGTTTGCGATCATACCAAAAATGAAACACATCTTCGCAGTGTGGGGGACGCTCCAAGACCATGATATATCCGTCAGGCTGGTCCTGCCAGTCCAGCAGTTCAATGATCTCTTTAACTTTGGGGTCCCTATTAACATATTTTAACATGCCGACCTCTAATGGGACGGGTGTAGGATGACCAGGCTGGAAGAAAGATCATTGTTGGTTGTAGGATTTTTTATAAGATTTTAGAATAAAAAATGTTTGTCCAGTTTTGGAAAAATGTTGTTTTCATGATCAAACTTACAATTCTGATGTATTCCATGCTCTTTGACTTTTTGACAAATTTCACTGCCACCTGATCAACAAAACAAAACATTTAGCCCATTACGATTACATTTACAAACATGTAAATTGCGCCACATAGCCTAGTGAACATAACATACAATAAAAGGACTTGAAATGGATAGCGATAGCGAGACGAAAAAGAATTTGCTAAATTGAAAAATGTAAGAAATGACTATACCTCAAGACCATCTGCCAATCGCTTCCCTTCATAAACCTTGCCGAATCCTCCCTCACCAAGCATTCTGCCGATTTTAAACCGGCTCAGAATGTCGTCTGTTAAAAGATTAATGGTTACAGTTGACATTCTGTCAAGCATGGACAGCAGTGAGAGTAATATTTGAGATATGGCAGTAAACCAAATTGTATTGTACAATTGTAGTTTTTTTTTTTTTTTTTAATTGGCAACGATGTGACAATTTGATAGTATCGCGATATTTGGGCCACAATTCAATATTATTGCGATTCTCGATATATATTGTCGTAAGCAATATATTGCGATTCATGTTCCCCATATTATTCAAAGACATCACAAAAAATGAGCAAAATAAGACTGCTCAACTCATTTTAATTAAATGTCACATTTAATTCTGTAAACATTATCTTCAACTGAAGTGCAAAAACTTGTTCTTGAACATTCAGGAAACATGACGACGTAATTATTCTCTGAATAGGAGACCTCTCACATGAATATTGAGCTCCAGGATTGCTAGATAGTCGGTGTTACCGGTGTTCGGGCTTGAGCAAATCATTACACACAAATTATGCCAAAACGTCCGTTTTGTCAAATGTCCTCATAAGAGCTGTCTAAAATGATTTAAATAAAGTCTTAAATGAACATTTCAAAAATGGGACGCGTGTCAGATCGCGTCTCTGTCCTACATTGCAGTATTAACGTGTAACATAGCTACACAACGCTCAACGGCTGTCCGGATTCACTCACTCTTTTTCATTCACTCCTTCAAGCGAACAGTATCAGTGGACCAACTTAGGGTATAACTTAGTGAATGATTGTTTAGGGGGCGATTTCGGATTCAACCCATGTTCTCAAGCAGTGAAAGATAGAGAAACCAATGAAGAAAATCGGAAAGTAAAACAGATAATTTTACAGTATTGCCTCAGAAAATATAGCGATACTATTCTTGCGGTCGGCGTTACGTCACTAATCATGTGACCTGCATAGCAACCGGCCACGAAGGGTAAAACAAACCGAAGTCAATGCCCGAGGCAAATCAAAAAGGTATCTATTCACAGAAGTTTTGCTGTGGATTATGTCAGTTATGGATACTAACGGACTACTTTGTATTAATAATGAATGATATCTGTGTATGCGGATGTATGTCGGTGGTGAGAAGTGAATAATAAAACACTCATGTAAAAGGCTTTGTGACTTGCTAACGTTATGTCTGTGAAAGGCGCTAGCAGCTAGCTATATGAATTTATATCTTCTTCATCTGTTATTACATAATGTCGTATCAATATATAGACAGTCTCCTAGCGCCTGCATTGACCAGGTACCACAGCTGCTGCTTGTAGGTTTAACATTACAATCTTGTCCCTATCGGCATCCAGCTGAGTCTTGGTACAACAACCCAAAAGCATGGCCCACCTCATCAAATCCCCTGAACACCATGTGTACATACCATGTGTCCTACACTTGCAGTCATGTTTAAGGGTGATTCTCCAACTACAGGCACTTTTGTGTCCTTGGCCTTTTTTTGTAAATAAATAAACAAACAAATGTATATCAAAAATACCAATCAAGCATCGATTACATATTAACTATGTTATCGATTTTTTTATTCATTAAAAAAACTGTTCATTCAAAAGCACTGTGTTACAAAGTGGCGTTGCTGTAATGAGCTCAGTCTGTCAGTGGCACAACTTGTAGCTACAATGTCAGTGAGGGACACAGTTTATAAAAAAAAGCCAAAAAAGGCTAACAAAATACTAGTGCATTTCATTGTTGCTTATCGGTGTAGAGCTGCCGACCATTATGCATAGCAATGTCATAACATAGCAGAAAATTGAGTGGCCATCCCTGCAGTGGTATTAATTTGTTATTCTTTGATTTGTCCCTCAATTTGTCCATTCATTTGAGATTACATTTCTATTTAGATTCATTTTAGACGCGTATTTATCTCCCGCTTTCGTGTAGCTTAATGGCGGGGGCTTGTTTGTTTTACCCTTCGCCGCGTTGCTATGCGCGCACAGGAGTAAAAGTCCCGGATGTCCGACCTTGTAGGCGTATCGATTCCCCACCCCTAATATTTAAGACATGTCTTGGAATTAAAAGAAAAAACTTAAGTTTAATTATGGTTTAATGCGTGGTCGTGTGGATGGATTTGGTCATTTGATTTAACTTACCCTCAGCACTTCTCTCATTTCTCGGTGCAGTAGCCGCGTCGGTTCTGGATGTTGAGGGGGAATGGCACTGAGCGAGGGGCTTTCTCATGTTCTGTGCCATGATTGTCCAGTTGGGTAACTTTATCAAATAAACTGCAAAACAAACAACGAAGACTGACTGTAGTAGGGTAAGTTATGTGTTTCACACCGCTGAACTAAGTTAGCTGACAAACACAACACTAAGAGCCATGACAACGCTCAACTTCTTTTATGACGTCATTTTCGAACGCGCGTGAGACTGAAGCTGAACCATAGACAGTAAAGGAGCTCTTGTCATTGCCTATGTTGTTCACAGCGGGGAAAATGTATTGTTTTCTATTCTAATGTTTCTACATTAAACATCTCACCTTGTCCTATCACTTCATAATAAAAAAAGCAATATTTCTATTATTATTTTATGTTTTTTATTTAACCCTTTCATGCATGAATTATCATATCCTCAGTCAGGATTTTTTTCCTTTGTGTTTTTATTGCTCTTAGGGCATGAAAAACAAGATTTGATTTGATTTTTTTTTTTAAACACATTTTTCAAAGAGATTTTCAGATGTCCACTTGAGTGGACAGCATGCATTTATAGTTTAAACTGAAGAGATACTGTATTAAACATAATACAATAATCAAACAGATAAATTATGTGTATTTAACAAACTAATCAATACAATTACATCAAATCATGTGAAAACTATAAAATATATGAAAAAATATATATAAATCCGAAATATTGCAAAGGCAATTGACCTGCATACAAGTTGCACTTTGTGTATCTTGGATATCAGAACATGATGATGTGATTCCATCAGAAATGTCTACAGCCTGTCAATGTACAACTGTGGAAACACTCAGATGCTCCCTCCAGTGTGCCAGAGTATGTCAATTTATCCTTATTAGCAGATAATTCTGATTATGTTAGAGATGGACACATTTCTAGCATAGCCCCTCTTCTGAGAAAGCCTAGTGATACATTTTTTTAAATCTCATCTGAAATGAGCAGTGTTGGGCCAGGCATAACGCATTCAGATTACTTGGTTGATGTTACAAGTAAAGTAATGTGTTAGAAGAAGTAACATGCATTACATAATCAGATTACTTTTTGATCTAACAATTACAAGTAATGTGCATTACGTAATCAAATTACATTTTGTTGTTACGAATAAAGAAACGCATTACAAGTAACATGCATTACATAATCAGATTACTTTTTGATGTAACAAGTAATGCACTACAAGTAACATGCATTATTTAATCAGATTACTTTTTGATCTAACAATGCATTACAAGTAACATGCATTAAATAATCAGATTAATTTTGATCAAACAAGTAATGCATTACAAGTAACATGCATTGTGTAATCAGATTACTTTTTGATGTTACGAGTAAAGAAACATTATAGGTAAACAGATATTTTTTGATCTAAGAAGTAATGCATTACGTAATTAGATTACTTTTTGATGAAATGAGTAAAGTAATGCATTACAAGTCACAAATTATGTAATTACATAACTTTTATTTAGACGTCAATGAAAATTACATTCTAATAATACAACTACATTTATTTACAGTCAAAAAAAGTTACTGCAGATTAAGTATTTTCAAAAACAATATTCACAGTATAAGTATACATTGTAGCTAAAATATAGCCATTGATGCATGAGGTGGACAGGTGATTTATCAGATTTTTCTCCCAATCTAAAATCAAAACTTGGAAAATTTTACTGTAATATGACTCATTAGATACTGCTTGATGCTGCAATATTTTTTTTTTTACCTACAAGAGTGTCCTAGGATAGAAGGAATGGGTGGATATTCCGGAGCACCTTGGCATGTCTGACTGGCCATTGGCCATCTTGGTTTGGAGGGAAAAAAAAAAAAAAAAAACTGCTTATAACTTTGTTGCAATGCATAGGATGATGCACCAGGGTCCACTGAAGAGATTGATGTGCTACTTTCCCATCAAAACCCTTGCAAATTCAAGAAAATGCTTTTTAAATAGCTGTCCACTGTAGTGACCACTATGCATGAAACAGTTAAAGTCAGAATAATTTAGAATTTGACAGGATTAATAAGAGAACAACCATTGAAAAATGTGTTAAGATAATTTGGTAAGAGTGTAAAATTTATTTAAATCCTAGATTACGCATATATAAAATATAATGGACCGCTTGCACTGAACTTCACGATCTTCCGTGTGGAAACAATACATATCACTTTCGGTTATGTTTACTTTCAATGTACTGCAGTCAATGAGTTGAACAAATGCCACCTAAAATATATATATAAAAATATGTATAAACAAAGAGTGACGTAGGCGTGCGAGAGATCACTTCCGGCGCATGTGCAGACCGAACCGCCCGTGCCTTCAGATCACATGGACGTGGCTGTGGTTACAAGAGGTAAAAACGATATAAATACCGTTTGTTTTCTCACACAAACCGCTCGTTTCGTGTCTTATGCCATCAATGTGTACTTGCATATACAAGTCTTTAAATCATGTTTAATTTGGACTTCTCTGCGCATGCTCTTTGAGATGGACCCCATAGATCTCCATATGACTGACAGACAAGAACAGTTTTACCTAAAAATATCAAAATTGAAAATACTGTGGAAACAAAGACACCTACATCTTGGATGCCATTGAGGTAAGAAAACATACCAAAAATTAATTTCAAAGTGAGCTATCCCTTTTATGAAGAAAAGGTAAAACTGAAATAACAAACACATGACCAAATGCAGGTAAGTAAACAAAAATAAGCACAACACAAACAAATAATATATTGTTCCTAAATTGGGTCTTATGTTATTAAATTAAAGATACTCACTGACGAGGCCCCATGACCGAACAAAAGATGAATGGATAGATATCATTTTTACTACAACATTCTTCAACCAAGGGGGTAATCCATCAGCCGGAAGTTGAAGCTGCCTCCGGGGGCCGCCATTGTAGCGGACTATCACAGGCCGTTAGCTTCCCATTGACTCCAATTCATTTTGGCGTCACTTTGACAGCGAATAACTTTACATCTGAGGACTCCATTTATCCATTATTTATTTCTAAAGAAACACGACAATGTATAAAAGGCTCCATTACTTTGTATGTTATGTTATGTAACTTATGGCCACGTAGAAGCCGTTCTTGTAAAAATAGGCTAAAAATTGCTTCATAACCACTCGACTGTCCGTCGCACAGTAGAGAAGTTACCGTATAGACAGGAGAAGCTCCCACAGCCTCGCAGGCAATCTTTTACTGTCTAAAGTCAGCCCATGGCATAGGTCCGATTGGTCAAACATCATTCCAAAAGTGCTGATGTCACAGTCCAACAGCACTTGGGTGTTTTACTGTTCACCGCAACCTAAATGGTTGGCAACATTGAGCAATTCAACTTTTCATAAACTTCATGTTTAAATGTTGATCTTCACCTTCAGGTGGCTCGTGATGATATTACATGAGCTATTATATATGAGATTTATTCATTTCTATATGACTATCTGAACCAAACCCTCATGTGGAAATATCCTCATCACAGCATCTGGTCTGAACTCATCTCTCTCTCCTCTAGAGGGCGACAGCGTTATTGAAGAAAACACAATCAAAGTGAATGTAGTCAAGTGTCCCTTTTTATTAAAGAGTCAGAATGACAAGTCATTTCATTGCAGTCAAAACGGACAAGCCCAGGTATCTTGTAAAAATGACTCTTTTGATACATTACAAAATAAAAGTCAGAGCAAAATAGAAAACAGACCTAAAACATCTATGTCAGCCGGACGGGTGTCTGAAGAGCCATCAGAAAGACACATGACCTGAATGAGTTCAGTCTTTCTTCTTCAGCTCAGTGAAGGACATGCCGTTACAGGCAGAAGAGACATAAATACAGAACCCTTTACAAACACAGAGAAGAGCAGATCTTCCTGTGAGGTATTTAAAATAAATCATACGCTTAAAAATAAAGTTACACTCCAGAGAGATGCTGGGTCCTCATTTCATATAGAAAACTGATGAAAAAAAAGAAATGAAAAAAGAAAATCCATCTTAATTCACTGCTTCTGCAATGGTGAGAAAGGAGACTGGGATCTGCTCTGGTCTGAAACCAACACACATTTCTGATTGTTACATATGATTTAATGATTTGGCCATTTCAGCAAATAATCAAATAAGATTGCAATGCCTACGGTTGAATCTCAAGAGAAAACGTGATATTAAAGAAACTATTAAGATACTTTTAAATTGTGAGATTTTCATGACAATTAAAGCACATTCCCCCTCCAGCTATTTAACTGTTTTGCTTTGTTATTCTCATTAGTAACGATTTAAATGTGTTTAATAGTCATGAAAATGTCACACTGCAAAACAACCTATAAAAATATGCTTCACATTCCCCCTCCAGCTGTTTGACTATTTTGCTTTGTTATTCTCATTAGTTTTAAGATAATACAATTAAATCAGCATAAATCAAAGGCAATAACCATGATATATTATTCATTTAAATTGTGGTAATTTAGCTGGATTATCATGAGTAATACGTTTAATAGTCATTAAAATGTCACAATGCAAAAAACAAACACTTAATTGTCCTTAATTGTCCACTGACGGTTTTTAGGGGTGAAGATAAACATTCATGAGATTCACCTCTATACACACAGCAAAACAACGATTCCCATCAGATCCAGAGAGAACCCACAATCCCTTTCTACTCAATCCAGTTTCATCAGTGGTCTGTACGGGTACATATTGATACAAAGCCACTGTAACATTATAACCAATCACCTGAACATGCACACCAGCATACCATCACATTTGTCAGAGAACTCATGAAAAGAAGGCTTAAAAATCTAAAGTGCCAGCACAAATAAATGTACACCAAAATTTGGAAAACATGGGGGGGGAATCCATGAGTACTGGACTGAGCCGGATAATCGAACCATCATGTGCACGAGAGACTGTACATCAGGGTCGAGATCCTTCGCTTGCCAATACTGAAGTTTGATGCGCTTTTGACTGTTGATTGTGATGGATTGTCGATACATTCTCCTTTCCTCTTTAAAACTACATTGAAGTTCAAGGCCAACGATAATATGAAATGTGTATAAGACAAAAAGA